ATGGAACCTGACTCATGGGTTTGTGCCACATACTGTTCACATTGACAAACCAACTCTTAATTTTTACATAAATACAGTTGATGGAAACTGGTGTTATTTACATTTTCTTTTGCAGATTTTTAAAATGTTCACATTTGCATGGAAACCAACTCTTGCTAGCTTGGCTACGTTGGTGGCATGAACTTAACCAACAATGTAACACTACCATGAGATGTACTGCACCTTTTGTTTTAGGATGAACTACTATTCTGTTGTTGCCACTTGTGGTCAGTAGCTGCCGTAGCTAGTACTTCCTAATAGCTTTACACACAAACCGTAGTTCAGTAATGTGAGCCTGAAACACTGGACACTCCCCCGAAACCAGTTTATATACTTCCTGTGATACAGTCAACATGTTTCCATCTGAAAATAAAATACAGCTTTATTCCCTGGCAACAGCACTCAGAAGTGTTGTCTCTGTATACCCGCTCCTTTATTGATTACCTGGAACGTGAACGATCATTGATTGGGTTGAAGATAGCAATGGTGATGTTGAATAATTCAGGCAATAAGCAGAGCAAAGTGCCTTGTAGTGAGAGGCTGATGCATCAACATTAAGAATCTAGACTCCAAGAGCAAAGCAAGACAAAGTCACAGTCTAAATGGTAATGTGGTTTGTGTGAATGTGTGTGTTTACATGTGTGCGTGTTTTGTGTGCTTGGTAAGTCACAGAAGGTCTGGCCTGCCTGAGGGCGGTACTCACAGCTCGGTGTGAAAGATATGGGGGTGGCACTGCCGCACAGCCTGAGAGGATACGCTGTCTGAGGTCTGAGATGGAGGGAGGATGGGAAAGAGAAAGAGAGAGAGAACGATATTACCACATATACACACGGGCAGCTGTGGAGCTCCTGATAGAGTGAGGGGGAACAGAGAAAGAGTGAGGAGAAGAGAGGAGGGGAGGGGAGGGAGATAAGCGCCTTAGAGGGTGGGAAAGATAACGACAGATAGGGAAAGCAGCATGGAGGCCAAAAGTGAGCGAGCGAGACAGACACAGGAAGAGAAAGAGAGAGATATAGAGGAGGCGAGAGGCTGAATTTAATAAATTAGATCAGGCGCCTCGCTGGTTTCCTAGCAACTCAGACAAAACGAGCCAGGTCTGGCCTGGTCTGTGCTCCAGAGTAAAGGTCTTTCTCCTCTGCCTCTTCCTCCATCTCCCTCTGCCTTTCTTCCTCCTCATCCTCCACTCACTCATATCAGGACACAATCATTGTCTCAGTCACTGTTGCAAATGAGTATATTTAGAAGCAGATTCATGTTCTGAGGTAAATGGTGCCACTGAGTACAACTCAGAGACATTACACTTTTGCTGCATCGCCAATAATCCCCAAATGTGAGGGACTGCTGACACACTAAGGAAAACCACTTGTGTAGCTTCAGGTACTATTTCTACTAACTAAAGTATTGATAGGAAGAACAATTTCAACATACTGGCGTCAAACTACAAATGTGTTATATTAGACAATATAAATATATCAGCTCTAATGTGTTCATTTCCCACACCCAGAACTTGCAGGATGACAACTTGTTAATGAAACCACAGTAAAACTTGAGAAAATTAATAAACAGTAGATCAAGTTTTGGCTACATGGAAGAAAAATGTAACTTTTTTTGAGTTTGTGGTTACATTGTCAATATATACAGCACAAGGACAAGTTTGAACACACCCACTGACACAAAGATTTATGTTTAGTATTACTATTTTCTACAACATAGAACAAAACTGTGAACAGAAAATGGAATAATGTAGTAAACATGGCAAAATATTTTCCTATTTTTTTCTATTTTTCAAAGTTTCCACCCTGTACACTGTTGTCAGTATGTGAACCTGCTTCATGAGGTCGTCACCTGGAATCGTTTTCAATTTACAGGTTAGCCATTTCAAAAGTTAACTGGCTGAATTCACTGCCTGCAAATTAAAATTTGTTTGTGCAGAGCTAGTGTTGTCATACAGCAAATAGCAGTAGTCTACTAAACTGTCTCTCATGAAGACCGTTCATTGGAGATACAAGCCTCAGAAATCACACATGTTCCATGTTACATGAGCAATTGATGTCTTACACAGGGAACATAAGTGATGATAGAACACAAAGTTCCACACACACACACACACACACACACACACTATCCCATCTTACTGGGACCATTGTTTTTATTTCAGCAGGACAGTGAGCCTAAACACACCTATAGGTTCTGAAGGGCTCTTTGACCAAGAAGCAGAGTGATGGAGTGGCGCTTCAGCGGACTCCACAATCATCCATCTAATCACAGCTTAGATGGTTTGGGATGAGTTGGAGTGCATAGTGAAGGTCAAGCAGCCAACATGTTCTCAGCATATGTGGGAACTCCCTCAAGACAGCTGTAAAAGCTGCAGGTGATGACCTTGTGGCTAAAATTTAGCTTGCTTTGTTTTCTAAATATTTCCATTTTAAGCAGTTTTTTCATAGATCTGGTGTCTTCAGTATAAAACAGTATAAAATGTTCTACGGTATAAAATGCAGAAATTAGTAAAAACCAAGTAAAAGCTATGACCCCGTAGGTGTGTCTGAACTGCAGACTGCTACTGCATACAGGCAGTACTCATTTAATACATACTCAGCTTCAACTGTGCTGCTTTCCACTGGACTTGTATCTGCATGTTCTGTCCATATAAGTGTGCGTGCTCCTGTAATAACAAAGATAACCTTTTATTTCATTTGTGACTAATTAAAAATTGAACAACATTCTCCTCTGTTGAACTGTACAGTCTGGTTGTGTATTGCTGTCTCATTGCCCAGTGCTAAGTGATACCAGATGGGTAAAAGCATTATGCTCTACAGGAATTCCATTAATGCGACTTTCATTAGAGAGTTTTAGTGACTCAGGATGATTCAAATGCTGTTTCAGTGGCTCCTCTGTCCAAGGATGGTCACGGTTCTCTCCTGCTGGGGAGATGAAGTGGATACAGCGGTGAACCAAATACATTTAATGTACAAAGGCACCTCAGCATGACCGAGTCCTCAGTGAAGGTTGAGAGATTGGCACTTAAATGCTCAAATCTGCTCAAAGTAATCCAGTATTATACTGTGTCATATTTATAGTAAAATCTGCTAGTGCAACAGGATCATTTAAACCTGTTTCTGATGCAAATCCACAAAGTGCTGCATGTATACATTCAAAGCCCATCATATTCTGTGTTGCTTGAAAATTCTGGATAATTTGAACTGAAAATAGGCTTAAACAGTTTGCTTCAGTGCACTGACAGATTGTTTCAAGAAACAGGAAAACATGACTCAGTTACAGACAACAAGCACATGACAGAGATTTTACAGAAATATTTAGTCAAACTGGCTTCCTGTGGTTGAGCTTTTGGTACGGTGAGATTAGCTGAAAGAGAAGGAAATCAGGCTGCATGTACGCTCATATCAGTTCTATCTTCTCCTGTGGGGGCTCCTGTCAGCACTGGACCTGAACAGAAAAGCAGGACAAACTGTGTCTCCGATTTGCATGTGACGGAGGCTGTTGTATAGCCATCTGCGGGAGAAGCTTTAAGGCATGACACAGCAAAATGGACAGTTTCTAAAAGACTTCTAAAAGCTCTGCTCTCTTCAGCGGTGCTAGTGTCTGAGTAGATTCTCTGCCCACTGCTCTGACTCCGTACCTGCTGCTTTATTACCTCAGAGAATCAGCGGCCTTCGTTCTGGACCTGATTTTCTGATGATGATGCTCGTCCTCACCTTTGATTTTGCCATTACTGGATAAGTGTTTGAAAACTGTAGCTCCAGTAATCAATCCTGTGATTCATCAGTGGGATATTCTCAGTCAGTGGAGTGACTCACATGTTTGTTCTGGCCCCACCCTGCCACGTTGTGTTTAATGGTCTCATGTCAGAGGAGGGATGGCATTACTGTAGCTTTATAGCGTGTACCCTGAGGGGTGCTCCCAGTTAATTGCTTGATATCCACCTAATACCACTGATATACTACCCAGGAAAGCTCTAGTGTGGCTATCTCAGTGGGTGGGGATACATTTACACATCTAATCAGTCAACTGAGGGCTCCAAAAAAAAAAAAATCTTGATATGAGGCAGAAACCTTGCATGATGTAATATTCTTATACAGACAGATGCCTATCCTTGATGAAGCTCCCTAATAAACAGAATAGCATTCCTTCTGTCACCAAGGCTAATCAAAAACTGCTGTAGCACAGAGAGGAAATTTCATTACACCCACTTCAATCATTCTCCAAACAGCTGAGTGGCACAAAACTGCCCCCACCGGCTCCATATGACTCAGAAATACTTTCACGTGAGCTTGCATATTTCCACCTGTATCGATCAAAGAGTGGGGAGAATAAAAACAGATAGGATGTCTTTTAGGATCGATGTTTGTGTTAATGTTGAGTCTGGATGTTAGGATGGAAACAGAGAGGGGTTGGGTGGGTGGGTGTACATCCGCCTGACATACTCAGTCCATCTAACACTCCCCTTTTCAGAAGAGGTTCACTGTCCTCAGTATCCTCAGACACCCTTTTGGTAACTGCCGATGTGGAAACATATTCCATGTCACATGTTTGGTGTCTGTCTGCTTTCTCTGCAAATGAAACGAAAATGTGGAAATGAGTGGAGGTGCTGGTGCAAAAAAAAAAAAAAAAAGTGGGGAAGACTCAACATCACCACATGTCTACATGTGAGTGCTCTCTAGTGGCAGTGAGGGTGAACTACAGAGGCACTTAGCTGAACACGAACTCACCGGAATGATTTCTCTCACTGGCAGAGGGCTGACAGCTCCAAAATGATAAGGGGAGCTGGAGGAAAAAATATTGATTCATCTGTCACCTTTGCTCCATTAAAATGAAAAGCAAAAGAGGGGTAGAAGCAGAATGAAAGTGTTGCATCGCAGATTAAACACATGATGCAAACCTGAGGTAGAGAAGAATTATTCACGGGTGGCAGAAAGCAGGGAAGAAAGTAAACCACGATCATACTATGGCAAACATTTTATTTGTGTTTACATTTTCAGTATGGTAGAAATGGTGGTACATTATTAGGAGCAAAATAAAAATAACAATTTGCACAAAAAAACTGTCTTTTTCTTTACATGTTTACAACGACTGTTAAGCTCATTATAGTCGGCAAAATATATTTCCTCTTGACTGTGTAGACGTTGTGCCCCTTTTCTTCATTCCTAAGGCCTCCAAACATTTGTTCTCTGCCCTTTGTACTACTGACAATAACTATGAAACTATTCAAACATTTTAGGCCAAACAATAGCCTTTCTAAACCAGCACCACAAGATAATGAAGCATACGAGTCCAGTGAGTCCCTCTGCAGAATTCCTACTTTAATATGCAAATTATATAAATTTACATTGCATCTGCAGTTGCTGGCATTAAGGGGCACTGCAGTGATTTAGTATTGCACTTTAATAAATTAGTGGACCTGTCAAAGACATATTTAAAAAGGAATGCAGTGAAATACAGGCAACACCAGTGCAGCTTGTAATATCTGGTCAAGCTTCAAAAACGCTGGATTCCACACATGCTGTAATGCAACTTGCGAGCATCTTTTGGTAAACCTGTCCTGCCTACAAACCACACATCCTGCTTTCTGTTGTAACTGGAAGCAAGCTCTGGGTTTGCTTTTGTTTATGTCAACCTAAATTAACCATTACACTGACATTTTAAAAAACAGATTCCTGATATCAGGCCATGAAATATTTCTCAATTTTTGCATCATTTATTTCATTTGTCTAATGTTTGTGTTTATAGGGGACTTTATCAAATAAACATTATTATTAAAATGTTTATTTTTCCTTATCATAATCTGATATGTGCAGTATTCTTGTAATAATTCACTAAATTGTTTAGCATTTAAAGAGCCTGAATATTGACTATAGAAGCAAAAATGTGTTTTTTTTTTCCATGTACAAAAAAAGATGGAGATTTTCTGCAGATCACCATCTTGTCTGCTCTCCTCTTCTCAAGCAGCAGGTACAAATATCCACCAATCAAAGCACAGGGCTGTAGAGTCTACATAGCCCGAGAGGTGAAACATGTGAATCATCACTGCTTCTAATTTTCAGAACTCATTATGGAGGCTGGTGTAGAGTAAGAAGATTCTGTTCAGAGACATTTTAACGAGCAAAGTTGATGACACAGTGCCATGTTGCAAAGGCAGACGTCTATAACACAACAGCATAACATTTGATGCATCAAAACTGGTTTAATAACCTTCCGGTCCAAAGGCACATTAAGTTCTAGTAGAGTCCAGCAAAAAAAAGTACAAAACTAAATTATAAATTTAAGGCTTTATCTTCATTGAGGGTTTTGGGGAAAAAAAGCCCTCACCCAAAATAAACAATCCATAAATTAAGGCAAATACGTTGCCATTGTTACAATAATACTGTTTGGACCACTGCTGCTTTGGCTCCTTTATGCTGCCACACAAGCATATTGTTTACTGTCTGTGAGCCATGGAAAAACAAAGGCATAAATTGTACACCAGCTTGGAGGCTACAACAACATTTCCGATGGCATTCACAATTAACACAACTGAAACAAACAAGCGAGTTTGAAACAAAAGCCCATATTAAAACACAGAGGAGAGACAGGTTATTGTCAGCGGCAGAATAATCTAAAACCTCCTCCTGGTGCCGATGCAGTGGTACTGTATTCTAAAGAGAATACTTCCTAAGAGAATCATATGGACAAACCACAAACCACAGGTTAAGCACTGCGCAGGACACATTTAATTCATGACAGTGTAACTGAGCTTTCTGAACACTGGTTCTGTTTCAGTCTGATATGTAACTATAATTATATTATAACACTGGTATCCTAAAATATTGTGTGACTGCATTACTTTTTAACCAAAATATACAAACCTATGATATCAGTTGACTTTTGAAAGATTTTTACAATATTATAAAAAACAGCTATTTCAGAATATTTTCTTGCATGTTTGGATCAGATGACTACACCGGCTATAAAATAACAATAATGTACATTCACGCTAACACTAGCGCTTTGTGGTTGTGCTCAGCAGAATATCTGATATTCAAAATGCCTCTTTTTTTTTTTTTTTTTTACATCATACATAAGAGAGAGAGAGACAGCTCTGAGAAAATACTGTATAACTAATTCTTCACTTAACTGACCAAGAAGCTATCACACTAATTATCTTAGTGCTTAATAGTGGAATGGAAAAGAGGCATGTGACATATTCCCCCAGGCATTATTTAAAGATTCTGATAAATAGCATTAAATAGTGGAATTGGTAAACTATGCTATCTCAGAGCCTCTGTTCATCACACTTCAGTGTGTCTTGATGTACAAGTGAAACTCAGATTACTGCTCATTTGAGAATTTTTTTTTAAAAATGTATAAACACTATTATATTTTCTTGGGGAAAAGGGGATCCTGAGGTTCCACATCAGCTGATTCAGTGATGTTTGTTATTTGTGCTCCCCTTTCTCTCCAGAGTTAAATAACCAAGTTCACTTCTGCTTTCAGTCCACTTTATCACACGCTTGTAAAACTCTATTGTTGAAGTCCTCAGCGTGGTCAGCGTACACGTAGTGTCCCGCTCCACGGATTGTCTGCAGAGAAGGTTGAGAAACAGAAGGAAAGTCGGTGATTTAAAAGAGTAGAAAATATACAAGAGTATATATACAAGTTTTTGTTCAATAACCTCTGTATATTGTATACTGTATACCTCTGTATATTCTTTTCTGCAGGATTTCCCTTCACTCAGTTCTGACCAGTCTTACTGTCTTTGTAAGTATAGCATGATGCTGCCACCACCATGCTTCACTGTGTCCAACAGACATAGTGCCTGAGGCTCTGCCCACATAGTACAGTTTCCCTCATCAGACCAAAAGATTCTGTTATAAAGGCTTGATTGATGGAATCACCCTCTGGCAGGTATTCCCATCTACATCTCTAAAATCTGTTCAAATGTTCAGTGATCATACCTTGCCACAATTGTATCACGGTACCAAGTTTTACAGAGTTCCTTCAATGTCCTGGTTTTTTTGTTGTCCTGACTTGCAGTGTAAATTGTGGGACTGTACATACCTTGCGTATGTGCCTTTCAAAACTATGTCTAATAAATTCGGTTTTCTATCCACATCTATTAAATTAAGTTGAAATTTCAGCCAAAAAGTAGAATGTAGAGTTTTTGGTTTAAAGTATTTTGCCACATTTCTTACCATGCATGAAGTTATACAAATATAGTAAATAAGAAATACAAAATCAAAATAGAACTTTTACAAATACTAAGTTGAGATATTTAATTTTTTTTAATTCATAAAGAGCAATGTTGTGTATAAATATATTATATCATGTGTGAAGTATAGTCCTTAAGGTTTCAAATATAAAAGAAGGTACATATATGCACATAGTCATGAAATGTCTTCTTTTGAAGAAGTTGCTTGGGTCTGTTTCTTTTATGGTTTCACAAGACAAGCAACAGACGGAGGAAAAGACGTCCATATAAGGATGCAACCATTCAGTGTGATGAAGATGGGCCCCAATCAGTTGTTTTACGACCTGAACAGGCATCACGTGACTTAGTAGTAAAAAGAAGGGTCAGGGGCAACAGGAGTAGTCTTGCTTTGTCTGATGCCAGGGAGAGTTTGACCCAGAGCTCTGTAATGCAATATTTAATGTGTAATTAAATTGATTGATTGAGACCGAATTGAATCCGATCTCATCTTTAGAAACTAACATGCGGAGAAGACAGTAATTCTCTAACAGCAAGGATACAAAAAGGAAATCAAAGGAAGATACTTTCATGAACTTACTATGATGTCCACATGAGAGTGTGGTCTCATTTCTTTGATGGTGCTTCCTGAGTTGCTGTCTATGCTGGAGCGGGAGCCGTAAATGATGGTGATGGGGATGTCAGGATGCAGTCTGTCCATCCTGTGCAGCATTGGCCTCTTTGCCCAGCCGCAGGGACCAGTCATATTCTTAAAAGCTGTTTCTCCACTGTGACAATACAAGAAAAATGAACAATTAATGGGCAGAGGGAGGACAGAAAGTGTTGATGACGAGACATGGTGCAGGATAGTAACATTTGAGTAACTGCTGCAAAGGTATTGAATAAGTTATTGGAATCGTAATTAATAAGAAGTGTAGCACTAATGAGGTGTGACAGGGTAACAGGAACAGAGAGGAACAAAAGGACAGACCTGGGGGTTTGCACATTGAGGTGGTAGATGTATTGCGACACAGTGTTGTCACTGAACATGGGGGAGAACTTCCTCTTAAAGTCAGGTCTCAAGGTCTGGACCAGAGAGGGACCTGAGGGGGCCACAGAGGAGCATGTTGCCATTAAGAGACAAGGCAGCTTCATTACATTTTGCATTATTTCTAACTATTCTACTTCGTACCACAGGCTGTAACTATCAGTCCAGCTAGTTTTTTTAAGATAATATTTACAATAATACAGTTTCTCAGCTAAAGTAGTTTTAATGATTAATAACTCATCTCTCTTTACTCTTCACAAAGCCTTCTTTCAACCATATAGCTGCCCTCATTATGAACAGTTTCATTTAGTTTCATATTGCATGTATTTTCATTACTTTTCTTTCTATATGCTCCAGATATTCAGCCAGTTCAGTTTAATATTACGATTTCCAGTTCTGTTATGTTTGATACTACTTCATTTGTTCTTCTCAGGGATCATTAAGGTTTTATCTAAACTAACTGCGTTGCACTGTGGTGCTGTGTTGTCTTTTGCCACCTTCCTCCTCCAGTCTTACCCAGCGGTCCTACCAGTCGTAGGCCAGCCAACGGGTTGAAGGGCCTGAACATGGCACCGAGGGCTTTGATCCACATGGGGATAGGACGGTCAGCTTCTACTGTGTCTAGACCCTCAGGAAAACCCCAGGGCTCCACCAGGATGATGTGCTTCACTCTGTATGTCAGACACCAATAAATAAATATAAATGCACTTGTGCTTTGCTGTTTAACCCACTATGGTACTTTACTATGATAGCTTATTGGCTTTCTTGCTGAGATAAGGTTATATTTCATTTAACTGATGAAATCTAGGAAGCCTGATACTAAGTTAGCCCAAGCTTTACAAGTGTCTGTTGACTAGTAGCACGAGAGTTAGGAATGTGTTCATTCATATTATTAAATAGGTTATTCTATGTCTAGTGATTTGTCTGAACACACCTAAATTATCATTTATAAACATCTTTTGTATTGTAAAACTGTGCACACAATGTTCATAATCATTTAGTTCAGATAGAGCAGGTAAGGTTCAGGCTGGACTGGCATTTAAATTAGAGAATTTTCTTTATAACTTCACAGGTGATTTTCTATTTTACCTCCAAGTATTACAGCTGAACTGGGGAGCTGATTATAGCCCGTCTGAAGTCGTGCTGCTGCTTTGATGGACTCTGTACAGGTACAGAGAGTGCCACATTACTGTTCTAGAGTGCACCTGGTGAGTAAAAGCTTTTGCTATCCAACAGGAATAACTAAGAAAATAAAACACAGGCAGTGCAAACGGAATTTTTCTTTTAATTCAGGGACATCTTTATATTTTAGGTTGTACTAATCAATATTTTTGCATTAACAATGGTTAAAATGATTATGTGTCAGTGTGAAATAGAATTACTATAAGCAAAACGATTAAAGAATTCTTACGTGATTCTGCCACTCCTCTCATCTCTACAGAGCATTTTAGTCTCATTTAGCTACTTGTTCGGTTTTAAAGCCCATAAGCTCCAAAGAAAAAATTCTGACAAAACCCACAGATAAATGTAGCTACCACTAATTTACTAATGAATGCTAATATTAAACAGGTTTTCATTTGTATATGGACAACACATCTAGAACAATGACTTCACAAACTGATAACACTGTTTATCAGCCTCATGCTTTCAGCTGGTTCCACAGCTCCAACGTCAGTCGATGCTGCTTTAAATTACAGGCAAAATGTAGTCTGACTCACTGGAAGTAGACTGCAGGTATAACCCTGCCATTTCCACGTCCCATTTCATCAGGCTTTCTCCTACCCTTCCACTATCTGTGTTACTGTTTTCAAAATCCCCTTTGCTACAGGAAGCAACAACGCCTCTCAGTAGCGACCTACGGGCAGACAAAGGTACGTTTCTAAGAAGATTTAGATCATGTAGTACAGCAAGCCTTTCAGCAAGTGATTTCAGTAGCCATTTAAATGACAGCACTTGCCTCGATGCACGACAAAGTTAAAAACAATTCTCCCTGTCACTTCTTTGCAGTGGCACAATTGTGGTATCCTGGGCTTAGCACCAAGATAATTCTGACTAGGTTAGAGAATACAAACAAGCCTAAACATCACATTCCCTATAGCAGAATGGTGATGAGCTGCTACCAGACAGTTCTCCAGCACTGACACAGCACTGTGGAGATACTGTAGATCTGGCAATATGTGATGCCAGGTTTGTGGTATTTATGATCAGATAAGTTTTACACAAGTTCAGCAGTTTAATTTATATAGTGCCAATTTACGACATATGTCAACTCAATGCACCTAAAATAGTAAGGAAAATAGCTTACAAAATTATACAGAGAAATCCAACATATCCAAAGTTTCCTTTGGATTCCTTCTGGACAGGCAATTAGCCTTAACAGTGTGAAGAAAAACTTCCCCTTTTACTAGAAAAATCTTAGGCTAGGTTAAAGTGCATATGCATTCAGTTTCAGTTTCATTTCCATATACCATAGAGTGACTTAGATATTCTGCCTAAACTGTATTTATAACCTGTATAACCGTTTGACTGCTGTTTGAGTTTACTGTAGTGATAATAATGTGGTCCATGATCTAAACAATAACTCTGGTCAATACAGTGCTATTGTACCTAATAAGAAGGCTGTCCAAGCTATTGAAATAAAGTAGGTTGTTACTTCTATATGTGAAATATGAATGAATAGCTGTGAATTCCTCGCCCCGATCCAAACAGAAACTATCCTAATATGCACTGTGAACACTACAGTCAATACACACTAGACCAGAAACCATTTAAAATCTGTGTCAGCTGCACTACATGGTCTAACATTACACACAGTATGACTAGTTTTACTGTAGGACTTTAGTGGTGTAAGTATGCAGCAAGAAGTCTCTTTAGGCCATAACATTAACAATAAGCACAGTTCAGCTTAAATAAGGACATATGTCCCTGATCAAGAGCATCTCAAGTTATAACTTAAAGGCCATTTGGAACACTGAGATAACAATAAGAAGACAGGAAGAGGGAATTTTATTCAGCGTTACTGATGATGGAGGGTGATAAGGGAATGAGGACATTTTATCAGACGTCCCTTAGGGAGAGCTGGGCGCCTGCTGGAAGCTCAGAGCTGGGGACGCAGTGAGAGGAGATGATTCAGGAGAGATAGAGTCTAGTGGGAGGAGAAAGAGGCTTGGAGGACACTGCTGTTATCACGAGCTGCCAGCACCTACAGGCACACCACTACAGCTGTATCCTGTACTCATACTGGCATGTTATGCTGCAGTCATGTTAACAGCAAAAGGGCAGAATCATTATTCAAAACACTGTTCAGTGCAAAGTCATTTTTCTCCTCTGAGCAGAACCTGGGGCAGGTTCTACTTCATTTGTTCTTAACTCTGTTTACTATTAGCACCAGTGATTAAAGGATTAGTCAGATTTACTACAACTTTGTTATTTATTGTGCAGTCTCCAAACAAGCTCCTCTTACTCCTACTGAGTTTAAATCTGTGTCTGTCTAGGCTTATATAATATATGTAGTAAAGACTTTGAAGGAAATTAATAAAAGCTAATGGATATATTAATGTTTGGCCAATAAAGTGGATTCGGAAAGGACACCCATGATAGTAGACAATGCTTCAAACACGGATGTTGCTGCTAAGAAGCAACAAATTCTAAAATGACGATGCTTCACGTACATCTTCAGCCCGGCAGCAAAGAAGATCTATAGAGTCTCCAAAGTTTCAAGGTGAGCACCCAAGATTAGTGCTACCAATTCTGTATCTGGCCAAAAGTCAAATATGGACACAATCTCACCTTCCTGAGTTATAGCATTGAATATTGGCCAGAAAGATGTTTTTGCAGAAAATGATGATGCCCCAGTAAAGCTGACCTTTGACATTTTGATATAAAACGTCATCACTTTATCATCACTTGAGTTTGAGCCAAAAACATGTTTTATTAGGTCGATGCGACTTTTAACCAACTAAAACTGAATCATTTCATTGAGTCAAAGTAAATGTTTGTGCAAAAATTGAAAAAGATCCCGCAAGTCACTCAACAGATACTATGATCACAAGCCACATCTGTAACCATGACAGCAGCACAATAAATAACAACACTACCCAAACTTTCCTGCTACACATAAACCAAGTAAAACGTGCTTGGTTGTAAAACAAATATGACACAACCATTGGACGCACTACACTGCTTGAAAGAGTAGCTTATATTGCATAGAGAATATAGATGAAGAATAACAGCAAGTAGACCAACATCCTGAAAGAAGCGTCAGAGCAGAAGAGGGATCCCCTGTTCTGGTCAGAAAATTCAAAATAAATGGGCCGCTGCTATAGCTCACTCGTTTGAGCTGGCGACCTTTGTATAGGGGCCACAGTCCCCGATGCAGCAGCCATAGGTTCAAATCCCACTCATGGCCCTTTGCTGCAAGTCCTTTCCCCATTCTTCTCCCCCACTTCCCTGTCTCTCTCTTCACTGTCCTATATAATAAAGGCAAAAAGGCCAAAAAATTCCAAATAAATAAGAGATTTAGAGATACCCTTAAGCTCAAGTGACAGACTTTGTATCAAGGCAATCATATGTACAATGGTAAATGGTCTGAACTTAAATAGCACCTTTCTACCTTAGTGATACTCCGATCACGACAATGTGTTTCTCATTCACACATATTCATATACCAATGGCAACAGAGCTGCCATGTCATCAGGAACAACTTCGGTTTCAGTGTCTTGCCCAAGGACACTTCAGCATGAGGAGGGACTGGGGATCAAACCGCCAACCTTGTGATCAGTGGACACCCCTACCACCTGAGCCACAGCCACCCCGTACAACTGTGTACAACGAATCATGTGATCACAAGTTTAACTCTATCTGTGAGGAGAATTGTGATTCAGGTTGTGGATTGTGATTCTACTTCTAGAAGATCATTGTATGATCTTCTGGCCAAATCGCCCACTGTCATGCATGGCTATGTACTTTAGTTACGCAACTGTGTCGGAGTGCTGTTTGCTGCTCACTAGGTAGGGTAAAGTCCGACTCATCGGATGTAGGCAGTGGGTATTAACCTGACTTTCTCAAAAATGGCAGGCGTAATGAGAATAATGTCTTGGATGATGACAGTATATAATGCTGAGCTATGCCATAATCACTGCTAACCACATAATGACAACATTCTCACACTTGGATATTGTAAATCATAGTCCTCAAGTCGACATGAAAGAATTAATAATCTTAAGTGCTGAAAAAGCTTACTGAGAAAAGAGTTTGACCTTATACAGTGTATTTCACTGCTACAATAAATATTAAACGCTGAAAGCACAAATTGATTAACTGATTAAAAAAAACACCAAACATCCTGTTGAACTTGCTTTTCCAATGAAGTTTTTTTTTTTTTTTGACATTCTCTGTTTTGTAAAAAAGCAAACTCAATTTCTTGGGTTTTCATTGATGTTCAGGAAAAACTAGAGTTTATGGGCATTTTGCACAATTTTCTTACATTAAAGAAATTATCACAAAAGCAATTGCAAATTGTAGCCCCAGGAAAAATCCAGATAAAGTCAATAACTGTTACATGTAATTCAGTGATAATTATTGCAGTATTAATTTAATCTCTGTCACCCACTCCTTTATTTAACAATTTCTTTGCTGACCATCAAATAACATTTAAACAAGGTGAGCTCCTGTGCATTATTGAATTTCCCTTCTGGGATAAAAATAAAGTATTTTTCATTATGCCCAAAACACCCACATTTTAAGACGATTAAAAACCTGACTCAAGCTGATGCCACAGTTCTGATCTGTCAATATTAAAAAACCTGCCATACTTCAGTATCGGTTAGTAAATGCAATTTGCTTTAAGTTTCAGATGGAACTACATGCACATTTCCTGACTTTTAGAACACCAAATGCAGCCCATATCAACAAGATCAGCACCAAAGGATGACTGATCCCTTTTAAATTACTACAGAAAGATAAGAAAAATCCCATAAGCTTCACCCACCTGCCTGGATATCTAATAGCATATGACACAGCCAGGTATCCTCCCAGGTTGTGGCCAAGCAGTATCATGGACTCCAGACCCACTTTAGTCCTCCACTGTTCAATAGACTCCACAAACTGATCCTCTGCTCCCTGGGCTTCTGTGTAGAACAGAGGTCTGGTGCTCTGACCGAAGCCCAGCAGGTCCAGAGCGAAGATGGGCCGACGCTGGGAGAGAGCATCCAGGTTCTGAGCCCAAAGACCAACACCACCTCCAAATCCATGCAGCAGAACCATGGGAGTTTTATGTTTGACGCTCTCATTGCAAAAGGTAAGGGTCCAAAGCAGATTGCCACTGGAGATAGGAATGAACTGTTTGGTAAAAGAACTGTTGACACCTGAAAAGAAAAGGAAGCACAAGAGAAGAGAGGAATGTAGAGGTAAACCTAATAAAAGTTTGAAATCATTTTTTCCATCTCTAGTGTAGCAACACTCCTCAAGATTTAAATATTCCAAGCATCATGTTTCACTGTGGGTTTGGCACACGGTGGTATCGGCCTTGTCTGACTGAGCTTTCCATACAGCTGATCTATTTTTTTACAAAGCTGTGATCTGACGCAGAGAAAGCCCCTCTTAGAATAACAATCCAACTTCTGACCTTGCTATTTAGTTCTGATGCCAAGTTTCCCACTATTGTAATGCTACTTTGTCAGAAATGCTCTGCTAGAAACATTGGACAAAGCCAAACAGGTAAACAATGACAGCAAGTGAAAAGGAGTCAACATGACCAATGACACACATTTGCTTACATTTGACTGCTAACCTTGAAATAGTGCAGAATCAGCATTACTTCTTTACTAAATGTATCAGAACCTCTTGTGTTTTAAAATGTTTCTAAATCTTCAAACTTCCTGAATTCTTCCAGGTTCACGTGACAGACTTTTCGTAAGCATGGAGTAAAACATTCACATAACTTGTTGTGGGTTCTGTCCAGCAAAAATAAAGTGCTGTGGTGACTAACAGCCCAGCAGGTGTCCACCATAAATGAGTGACCACAGCTGGGGAGTGTCATGGTGGCACTTCCTGCTAACTGCTTGTAAAATAAAGTAGTATGTTACTCTTTTGACTAATAATAAAGCCACACTATGAGGGTCAGATATGGAAACTAAAAGTCAGAGAAATAGACGGCTGATCCTTACACCGCAGCATGCAATCCTCTGCAGCCTGTAGCTGGCTTGTAGAAGTGGGACACCAGGATGGCAACCAGTTAGGAATCCAGCACCACCTACACACATACAGAGGACAAGTTCTTTTAGAAGTATTAATTTCTTTCTTTTAAGGCACATTTTTACTGTATACGTCGCATATAAAAGACAAAAAGGGCTGCTCGGGTAGCCTGATGGCTTAAGCTCATACCACCCCTTGTGGTATCTCATAGCTCCGTCTCTCTCACCTCATTTCTGGACTCTGCTGCTTATACAAGTACAGGCATAACTGCCAAAAAAATAGCAAAATAAATAAAAGCATGAATGAATTTCCAGCATTTCTTTTTCAGTAGCCTGCATTTCACAGCAAATTTATTGGGAGCATGAAACGTAAATTAAATTTCATCATCTTTCGTCATCATGTCCAACCAGATGATGTTTTTCAAACAGAACAGGATACGATGAATGCAATGTTGTTTTTGTAATGATAATATGGAGGATACTGTACTTTCAGTCTGGCTTCGTTCTCCCATTATTGTGGGAGAAAATCGAATAACAGGTTGTGTTGTAATTGGTAGCCTTAGAATATGCCCACAAACATTGATGCATGGTGTGACACAAGTACCTTTGTGTTAAACACGGTGGAAAAATTATAAAAAATTCATGCCAGATCAAGAAAGATCATTTTCAAATTCAGGTTACATGTTTAAAAGTACACGAAAAAATGAGCCGATGACGGCATCAGAAATAAATGTCTAAATGGCAGCATTTATTGTGAGAGCGTCATACCCCATGATCTCTGTATCAGCTGCTTGATGTGGCTAACTCTGCAAAAAGCACATGGTCAGGCCTTAATTTGTTAACACAGATGTCCCAGAACACAGAGAGGGTGCTGTTCTCGTGAGACAGTGGACAGAAAAACATCGTGGAACACATCAAAACATCCACAGCGCCTGGAACATATTGGACAGCGCCTAGATGCTAGCTTTTAAAACCAAACAGACAGCTTTGTTTACATTTAACAATTAGAGCACTAACAATAAAGACTCAAAATCTGCATGTGAAGGTGTACAGACACAGCTGTATAGGGCACAACTGCAGCTCTCGGCCTCTCTCTCCCATTGAAAAACAAGCAGGCGAAGAAATTGAACTATTTATCTACATCTAGAATCAGAATCAGAATCAGCAAGTATGTACGCAACACACATGGAATTTGGTTCTGGCTGTTGTTGGTGTCGCTTTAGGAATGAGCAAGGAAAAGAATAACAATAAAGTAAAATAACTGTAGAAAAAAATAATAATAATAAAATAATAAAAAATAAAATATATACAAGGTGTTTTGTCTGTCTGTTTTGCTCCACACACTTCAAGTGTCACTGCCTGACCTATGCTATCTATCTATCTATCTATCTATCTATCTATCTATCTATCTATCTCTTTTAAAATCAGATTTATAAATAAACGCATCCAAAATAGGCAAACACATGCTTTATTAGTAACTTCAATGAGAAATAAAACTATGAAAAAACATTTATATGATCATGAGAGAAAACATAAAATGAAGAAGCAGCTGTGGTAGAAAGAGAGAGGCGACCTGGCCCTTACAGCTCTTAATGCATAACTTAATTTTCTCCTGTCTGCAAACTTTTTTTTTTTTTTTAAATCACATTAGGGTGTTTTACATGGTATTCCCTACCGACTCTGTGCATAGGCCTCCCATTCACTCACTAATCAAATGTGCAGCATGAAGCAGCAAATGTATGTGTGTAAGCCAGAAGATAACCTATAACAATGCATAAATAATATTATAATATAAAAATGATTTATGTGCTGTTGTCTTACTTAATGACAGTTACAATCACGGAAGACTTTAACGAGACAGATGTTGTTTATTGTGTATATAAAACACCACAACCACTAATGCTTGAACACAGAGCTCCATTATATATTATGTAGTGTAGAGCTGCAAGAATGAAAAATTAATCAATTAATCAGAAAGTCATTTTCCAACTATTTTGATGATCAATTAATAGCTTGAATCATTTTTTTTTTTTTAAGTAAAAACACTTCCTGGTTCAAGCTACATAAATATACAAATTCAGAGTTTTTTCTGTCAAGTATGTTTGGTAAATGGATGTCTTTGGGTTTTGGACTATTGGCTGGATAAAGTGACATACTTGAAGATGTCATCCTGGCCTCTGGGAAAACACAATGGACAATTGTCATTGTTTGCTGATATTTTATAGATAAAACAACTAGTCGATGAATTGATGAACATAACCTCCTATTGCATCCCTAATTTTGTGCCTATACACTCATCATGTGTTGGGAGAGGTTTCTAATAGAAACTTTACCCTCATTTACAAAGATGTGCTTGAATAATTTTAGAAACACCTGCTAATACAACACAATATATGCTAAGTCAACAGCAGCAATGAAGAAGACAAACGACATCTCAAAATGACAAATAACAAAAATGGCAAAATTACCTTTAAGTCAAGTTAACACGTCTCCAAAACCATGACGGAAGGATTTCCTACAGGACTGTTGTATTAAACTGCTACTATGTAGATACCTAACAAACTGGCAAACAAGGGCATTTATGTCCTATGTGGGGTTCGATGCTAGAAAGTGTATTGTGAGAGTGCTTCAGTAACACCAATTGCTTGACAAACCACTGAGTTATTATCTTGTAGGTTCCTGTTCTACACCACTAGTAAAGCTCAACCTACACTATATTGCCAAAAGTATTCACTCACCCATCCAAACAATCGAAATCATGTGTTCCAATCACTTCCATGGCCACATGTGTATAAAATCAAGCACCAAGGCATGCAGACTGTTTCTACACACATTTGTGAAAGAATGGGTCACTCTCAGGAGCTAAGTGAATTCCAGCATGGTACTATGATAGGATGCCACCTGTGTAACAAGTCCAGTTGTGAAATTTCCTCGCTCCTAAATATTCCACAGTCAACTGTCAGTGGTATTATAACAAAATGCAAGCGATTGGGAATGACAGCAACTAAGCGGATGCTGAGGCACATAGGGAGCAGAGGTCGTCAACTTTCTGCAGAGTCAATCACTGCAGACCTCCAAACTTCATGTGGCCTTCAGATTAGCTCAAGAACAGTGCGTAGAGAGCTTCATATAATGGGTTTCCATGGTAGAGCAGCTGCATCCAAGCCATACATCACCAAGTGCAATGCAAAGCATCGGATGCAGTGGTGTAAAGCACACCGCCACTGGACTCTAGAGCGGTACAGACACGTTCTCTGGAGTGACAAATCGCACTTCTCCATCTGGCAATCTAATGGACAAGTCTGGGTTTGGCGGCTGCCAGGAGAACGGTACTTGTCTGACTGCATTGTGCAAAGTGTAAAGCTTGGTGGAGGGGGGATCATGGTGTGGGGTTGTTTTTCAGGAGCTGGGCTTGGCCCCTTAGGTCCAGTGAAAGGAACTCTGAATGCTTCAGCATGTCAAGAGATTTTGGACAATTCCATTACAAATACACCTGATCTGCTGCCATTCATGCCCCCTTCAAGAAGAAGATTCTTTCTAAGTCTGTGATTGACAGCACAGAGCAAAACATGGATGTATGCAAGATCAGAACTTTGTTGCTTCTAAATTTCTCTCTGAGCAATAATTTTACATGGATATACTGGTCTTCACCCCCCAGGCGGTATCTTTAATTCATGTGCATGGTGACTTTGACAACGTAGCAGTTATAAAATCTATATTTTAGTGCTGCCAACAAAATGGCTATGAAGTGATGGCTGGCTAACACGTACTCTGAATGTGCTTCATTCCAGTCACTGTTTCATACTTGTTCTGTTGTCTGTCAACAGAGGCATAAAAATATGTAGATGAGAACATCCATCCAATATCTATACAACGCTTAATCCTCACTAGGGTCGTGGGGGGGCTGGACCCTATCCCAGCTGACTCAGGGCGAAGGCAGGGGACACCCTGGACAGGTCGTCAGTCTATCACAGAGCTACATTTAGAGACAGACAACCAAGCACACTCACGTTCACCTACAGACAATTTAGAATCACCAGTTAACCTCAGCATGTTTTTGGACTGTGTGGGAGGAAGACGGAGAACCCGGAGAGAACCCACCGCCACAGGGAGAACATGCAAACTCCACGCAGAAAGATCCCAGTGTCCTTACCAGGACCTACCAGCTGCGAGGCAACGGTGCTAACCACCGAGCCACCTTGCAGCCCATAGATGAGAACAGATTGTTGATAATTTTATTTGTATTAAAATGCAGTATATATTGGCACAGACAGCAGGGCAGGAGTAAACTGATGTAACGGAGTAACACAGCTGTGGTGAGATTTAACAGAAGCACAACAGCCTACATGAAAACACAGTAACTCACCTGGTCCGCTTGTTTATTGGTTTTAAATCAGTCTTAAATTTTCCATTATCTCTGACTGCCCCTTGCAATTATAATTTCCACATAGTTCTGACGTGTGGGTATACAGCCAAAGCTAATATTAACCTTTGTCACATCAGCTGCACAACTCGCTAACACTAAGGATTTCCTGTTGTTGTGTTGACATGACCACCAACAATAAAAGTAATCCACTGGGTTATTTGTTCTTCAGATGCTGGGGGTATATGAAGGCTCTTGTGTTCACTCTTGCAGCCAACAGCTGAACATTTGGTGTGCTTTAATTGTTGCTGAGACCTTTCAGAGTTAGCAAAGCAGCTCAAGACAGAAAACAAACCTGGAGCACTGTGAGGCAGTGAGGGGGCAGGATTATGGAAAGCTCAGGCTGGATGACTGTAGTTTCTTAATAGGAATACACCGGCCCAGTAAGATTCTTACTGGCTTGTTTAGCAATGTAGTTGTGAGGTAACTAAAGATGCAGATATCTTTTACTTATGTCTTAAAAAGTTATGAAAACAAAACAAAAAAGGAATGTTCACCATATGAGACCTTTGCGGGCCTACACCATGGGTTTGTGGGGTTAGAGTGGATGGTCGAGGACAAGCATTACCTGATTGTGGTGTCCACGTAGCCCCACATGCTGCTGGCCACACTGTGAGCACCAACAACGGACAGCATTCTCTGAACAACCCTGAAGCCAGAACACATTGGAACCATAAGCGGATGAGGGCAAAGGACACTGTGACTGACGAGACAGCAGTTCTAAGAGCACACTGGTGAATTCCCAGTGGTTAACAGCAATATGTGACATCACCACGATGTTATCTCCTCTAAACGATTAGAAACGGTTGATACTGTTAGAAACTAACTTGTGTACACAGAGTGAAAGCGCAAAATGTATTCAAAGCGTTTTTGCTACATAACACATATTATATCCAGCACTATGTTTCCATTTAGTGTCATGATAAAGCTTGTGGGCCCCATGTATGTGTTGACCTTAGCTACAGGTAGTAGTCATGTGTCAGCATACATTTGGTCACAAAGCCAGCTTGTGTCTTTTCTTCATTTGTTATTTATGTTGTTAGAACAGTATGTTCAAAAACCCTTTAAAGTTGTTTATTTACAGTTGTTCTGAAGGAATTTCCTAAATATTCAAAGACTCTTACAACTATGTTGATCAAGACATTTTTTGTACCCATTTCTAAAAGTTATGCCTCTGTTTTTTTCATAAATGGCTACATGTGTCTTCAGGGTTTCAGAAAGTATCTTCAAACATGGTCTGTTAAATGACACCCACTGACTCACTCTGCCGCCGTATGTGTGCGAACACACGAGGGGGCAACCAGGACGATGTTTACCTGAACTCGCTGACTGACTCCTGACAGCTGATTTAACTTCGACAGCGTATGACAACATTTATTTGGAGTTCAACAGACTACAGTCCCGCCGTCACATAAAACAAGTGTTGAATCATATATTTGCATTGCTGTGGTGATGTATACTGTGACATGCAGAGGCATGAAGTGGGTTAGTGGAAATACTCACCCTATGTTTGCTGTCCCCCCTTGCTCAGCCATACTCCAACAACGTCTTTGACGCTTCTGTCGGTCACATGGTCCCCGACGGACTCTGACGTCGGTTGTGGGCATTTGATTTGTCATTTCTGACAACTCCACCGAGCGCCTCCACTGCTATACGCTGTTCTTAACTCCATGACTGGTTCGTTCCCGCCCACCGCAGCGATACTTTTCTACTATATAACACAAAACAAACGCACCCGGCCACCGAGGCTGAGGAATTGCGGAAGTAGCTTTTCTGTCAAATATCTACTGTAAACATTGCTACTCAGCAGAGACGAGGGCTTTGGTGAGTAGTTAAATTACATTTGTTTTCTCTGCTGTACACCGTTTAGGCACAATAAATGTAGCACAAGATTATTTTCTTGGGGCTGACAGCTTTTTGTACGCAGTAGAGTGTTCCCTTTGGCATCAACCCGAAGTGAAGTCATCCTGAGTCATTAAAAGTATTAAAATAATTTTGAGGGTTTGGTTTAGCTCGCTAAATCTTAACTATACGTGTCATTATTATTACTATCCGAGTCCACTCAGCATAGTATTACATTTCAAAGCCATCTTTTAAAATGTACAAACATTTAATTCAGTTTTTCCTAATTTATAATCTCTCATTCTTAATGAACTTTCATGAGGAAAAGAAGTACAAAAAGTAATTGCAATATACATAAAAGTATTTATTTCTGTCACTGTCACAGCTTACTGCTGTCCAATGGAGTCAAACCATTGTGAAAGATGTTTGTTTCATGTTTGCTGTGAAAAGGTCTGTTATCTATGTTGGCTCAGTGATTTGGTTTACAAGGACGCTTAAATGAAAGATTGCTGTGATTAATCCCATTAGTTTCATCTTGGTATGGCAGGTTTATAAGCCTACAATATGCAACTTACAGTGGCAACAAGACAGTACAGTGAAGGAAACTCATGAATAACATTACATGCAGGCACAGGGATCATTTCCTTTTGGTGACCAGCAGAAATACAACAAATGAACTGTTCAAAAACTATTGTTATCTCACAATGACATATCCTCCATGTTTAATTGGTGATGAGTATGTTATTTAAAAAAAAAAAAAATCAGATCACTTTGTATTACTAAAAACAAACCCTAAAGAAATTATATTGTAAGAAATGTTGACAAGCATTTGAAACAATATATGTTAAAGGATCCACAGCGATGATTAGACATCTGCAGGTTTAGATCTAGCTAGAGTGGGAATTATGTGATGGCACACATCAGCATGCATTAATGAAACTGATAAAAGTTGTCTCATCTCAGACAAAACTCAAAGTGGGAGATATTAGGTAAATGTTCAGTGTTATTTAACAAACTGCCTTGTGTGTATTCTTAAGCTCAAACTCAGCTCAAGCATGTTTCTCCCTTAAAACACTTAAATTCTAAAGTATATTAAATATATAATTTATTACGTATATATGAGCTTGCAATGATCTTCTTCCATACCTTTACTGGCATATTGCCCCCTACAAGTAGTGTGACATCACTGGTAGGACTGTGGGTGCATCCCATACTGTATCCCAGACAAACATTTGGTATGTCCCGCTACATAGGATGTCAAATGCAGGACGCCAGAAGTATCAGGATATCCTACTGCACCCAATCTCATTTTGCAATACGCCAGCATGCTGCTCTTGCCACACTGACAAAAAATTAAAAGAGATATTACATTCATCACTGTGTTTCTCTTGAAAATGAAGCTTGAGCCACCTGGAGCACATGGACAGGAGATTTCATGCCACAAACTGTGATGGGTGTATGAGCAAGATGATCAAAGTTTAAGGCACAGTATAATAAGGAAACAGCATGCCTCAACGGTGTGCAAACAGTTCCTTGGAAGGGCAGGTGTAGTATGTACTGCAAATAAGAAGTGTTGCTGAGGGCTAAAAACTCCACAAGGAACCTTTAAACAGTCTGTGCATTTTCAATCAGTACACGCCCAAAACACCTGGCTGGGTAAACTATGTGTTTGTGGGGCCTGAAGGAATCTAGCCGTGCACTAGACTGTAAAATGACTCACTTTTTGGAGGACGTGTGAGCCCCCCAGAGAAGGAATTATATTGATTTAAGCATCACCTTAATCTATTCTCCAACACCATCAGGCTAAATATTCCACCTGTACTATATATATATATATATACATACACACACACACACACACATATATATATATATATATGCCTAATTTGGGGTGGAATTTATTCCCCACATGGCAAACTGTAATTAACAAAAAATAAATAAATGCAAGAAAAAGGCGGAATGAGACATGATGTGACAATCTGTTTTCTTTACACGAAGAGTAGCTCTGATTTGTGAACTGTGGGTGTTGCGGGAGATCAGGGCTGAAAGGTTGGAGGGTGTGACAGCTGAAGTCTGCTCTGCTGCTGCAGCGTGACGTGGAATAACTCGGACCTACAGCTTCATGTTGATCTGACTGTCCGTGGATCAGCTCCCTCCCCGAGGCCGCAGCACAGCCGTTTCCTACACAGACTCAGATCTGAGTGAGTACCGTGCTGTCCCGAAACACAGAGAAGGCAAAACTGTTCAGCCTTGTGGATTAATATTAGCTGTCTGCATGTAACAGCGCTGCCTTTCACCACACAAGCCCCTCCCTCTGAATGTGTGTGTCTGTGTGTGGGAGCCGCTCAGCTGTTTCTGTCCATAGACTGGATCTGCCGTCTAATCGCTACTTCACTCTCCTTACAATTTATGAATAACATTTATTCACCCCACTGTAGATCACAGTTGTAATGTTTCCCCTCCTACTGATAAGATCACTTTATTGCTGGTGATTTACTTTGTATACTTTGGTGTGGAAGCTGTGGACACACCTTGTGGAAGCCTGTTACTGACATTTCCTGCATGTTTGCTTCTCTTTACTACATGGACTGCCAGTTTTACTTGTTCTGGGCTGACATCCCTTTTGTCACAAAATTGTTGTCATGTACATACATTCAGATTTAATTTAAGCACACAATAGCACCCCCAAGTCCTTAAATATCTAAAAAAAAAAAAAAAAAAAAAGTTACCTACCAGCGCTTTTAATGTGAAATGATGGATTTTGTTAATGTTAGTGGTGTCTAATTATGTACAGTCGTGACTTGATAATCTGACCCTTAACAATCTGAAAACCTTGCTATTCTACATGTTTTTAGGAAAAACGAACAGAACCCATGAAAAATAGCCTTGACATACTAAGAGTCTTGGATTCCGACTCCGACATGACATTTTATGTCACAAATAAGGATAACGATGTGTTATCTG